ATGCCCATACTACTCTCTGACTTTTCTTATTTTTTTCTTTTAGGGTATAGTTGCACTGACTTTTGATGAGCAAGCTTTTTCTAGAATCGAGAAGCAACAAAGGGGTGCAAGTTCACATAGTGAAGGTGTTATAAACGAAGTTTTGGAGGTACGCAACCGTCTATCTACTTGGTTTCAAATCAATATTTTTCATCTGAGCATGCATGGTTGTAAATGAGTTCCTTAGAGGGTGAGAACAAGGACAGGGACTGCATCTAAGACTTCTCTCAGTATGCATGTTTAGAAGGGCCCAATTCCCTAAAAAACCCCCCAACTTTACCCTTTGTCCCAATTATATCCCAAACTTTTTTTGTCTTATAAAAAACCTCAAATTTTACTTTTATCCCAAATCTACCCAATTCACTTTTCGTCCAATTTTTTAATATTATTTTTATTTTTTCGAATTTTTTTTTTTTCTTTTCTTTTCTTTTTCCTTTCCTTTTCTTTTTTTTTTTGTTTCACGTTTGGGTTTGGGCCGGTCGCCGGGGCCAGCGACCCGGCAGGCAGGAGGCCGGCGGGGCGAGGCTCGGCCTCGCCGGCGTTAGGCGGCCAGAGCCTCGTGTGTGGCGAGGCTTGGTCCCGCCGGCGTTGGCGGGCCAGAGCCTCGCCCCGGATGGCGAGAACTCGGCCACGCCGGCGGGCGAGGCCGACTCGCCCGGTGCCGGCGGGCCGACCTCGCCGGCCACGGCGAGGCTCGGCCCCGCGGCTATGGCGAGGTCGGCCTCGCCGGCGGCGGCGTGGCCGAGTTCTCGCCAGATCTGCGAGGCTCGGCCCCGCCTGGCAGGTCGGCCTCGCCCGGACAGCAGCGAGGTCGGCCGAGGTTGAACCTCGCGTTCTTTGGGCGAGCCGACCTCGCCGATTCTTTGGCGGGCCGAGCCTCGCCCGGATCTGGCGAGAACTCGGCCACGCTGGCTTGGCGCCGGCGAGCCGACCTCGCCGGCTATTGGCGAGGCCGAGCCGCGCAGCTGGCGAGGTCGGCCTCGCCCGACTGCAGCGAGCCGAGCCTCATCGGTGGCCGGCGGGGCCGACCTCGCCGGCCCCACCTCTGGCCGGTCGCCGGTCCGGCGGCAGGCAAAGAAGGTGAAACAAAAAAAAAAAAAGGAAAGGAAAAAAAAAGAAAAAAAAAAAAAAAAATTCGAAAAAATAAAAAATAATATTAAAAAATTGGATGAAAAGTGAATTGGGTAGATTTGGGACAAAAGTAAAAGTTTGAGGTTTTTGTAAGACAAAAAGTTTGGGATATAATTGGGATAAAGGGTAAAGTTGGGGGTTTTTAGGGAATTGGGCCTACTTAGAAGCATGTAACCGTCATCATTATTGTACCCCTCTCCAGTGTTTAATCCCCGAAGTTCATTTTTCTTTTTGTAATCTGAAGATTTTGGGTGTCTTCCTAGGGCTACTGCACCCTTATGACATTTTCTGTTTTCTTTTGACGTTGGGACATCTTCTTCTAAAGAACCTTAAATGTGTTTTTCCATCTGAATCTCTATTGGTGCAGTAACATTTTGCAGTGTTGATTTCTCTCTCTACTTTGTTTCTTGATTTTGGTTGCAATGTCTATATCAAACTACTAAACCATTAGGTCTACGAAAAATGGCCTGTACTGTTGCAATTCCTTGAAATATTTCCCTTGCTTTGGGTGGCACTTGTGCAAATAGGATTTGGAATCCATTTCACAGTATCCTCCATTCATTTGGATCTACTAGTGGGATAGAGTAAGGTACCAAAAACTGCCCTTATATTATGTTTTTTATTATTAGCAGATAAATCTTTGCCAGAAGTTTCTGCCTCCTTTTCTGAACAGCCTCAATGAAAACCCTTATTCCTCCCTCAAGCTTCAATTCTCTCTGGTCTCATATGCAACTTTTTGCATAGACAGAGTTACAACCTCCAGAATGTCTAGGTATTACCTTGGGAAATTGGATAGAACTTCAGCCAAAAAAGAAAAAGGTTAAGAACTTGTCTTGGCAGAGTAGTATCGTTCATTATATTGAAATAGTGATTTCTTCAAATCGCTTATTGGGAAATTGTCTTGCTGCATGTAGTTTTTTCCCCTAGAAAACTGTTTCTTTCGTAGTATTTTGTTTGTCCATTTTCTGACACCCATTGGCCAAACTTTATCGCTGTAGGGGCTTACTGGACTTCTGCAATCCCCTATACGAGGAGCAGAGAAGCACGGTCTTCCGGGGGTCCTATCAGGTAACGTAGGAGCATAGATTGCTAGTTCAAATGCATTGACATGGACCATGTTGCTTTACTTTTAACAGATATTGCTTGCTATCGTCCTTTGCAGGGGCAGCATTAGGACTTACTGGACTAGTGGCAAGACCGGCAGCTAGTATACTTGAAGTAACCGGGAAAACGGCTCAGAGTATCAGAAACAGAAGCAAGCACTACCAAACTGGCACACGTCGAAGGATCCGTCTCCCGAGGCCTCTGAGCAGAGAATTTCCCCTAAGACCCTATTCTTGGGAAGAAGCGATTGGAATATCTGTGCTCACTGAAGCCGGTGATGGCTTAAAATTCAAGGACGAAGCATTAGTGATGTGCAGAGCTCTTACGCAAGCTGGTAAATTTGTTATTGTGACCGAGAGGTTGATACATCTTGTTAGCTGCCCTAGCTTAGTGGATTATGCTAACCCTGAATTTCAAGGCATTGAGGCTGATCCAGAGTGGGACATAGAATCTGAGATCTTTCTTGACAGTGTGATCCACATTGATGCAAATGATGGGATCTTGCACATTGTCGGTAGTGGTTCAGATGCTTTCTTGAGGCAAAACCAGCACCAGGCAAAGCGAAGTGGAATGAGGGTGCATGGTGGCAATCCAACTCTTCCACTATATCAGACTGATTTGGAACTGGCACCCGGAAAAAACGCAGAAGAGCTATTACAGATTTTGCAGTCTGTAATAGAACTTGGAAAAGAACGAGGATGGGGTGGCAGGTCTGTGCTGCATCGATGTAATATCAAGTGCAAGTCAACTGCTTACTAACAGGACAAAATATACTAGAACATAGCATCATATCTATGAGCTCATCCACATGGCGGTTTAGTCAAGGAAGGAGATTTGAATCAATGTGGGTCAAGGATCATACTAGTTTGGAATCTGTAGTAACCTGGAAAATGCAAATGATTAGGATTGCATCTACAGGAAAATCGACCGGGGGTGCCGTAGCAAGGAGTCCTTGTTCAAACTTCTCCTTATGTCTACTCAAATCTAGAAGCGAGGAGCTCTCCCGGCATGCACCATCCAGACTGTAGAAGTGGGGAGGGATTGCTTGTGCCACAATGGATGTGGACCTTTCATCTGTAAATATCATCATGTACAGCGTAGATATAACACAACTATAGTTTCTCCAACATTAATTGCTTTCTATGAGATGCATCAATTGTATATATGTGTTAATTATAGCAATTTCATTGACTCATGGATCATGTACAGTCATATATATATTAGAATGAAGCCTATAACTACTCAAACTTTCGTCTGTGCCGGTTGGAATCGAGATTTGTAATATCCAAGTGATGCATCTTATTAGACGATAATACGCCTTCACGGAAACTACAGCTAAATTAATTTTGTTGTGTCGCAGAGGGTGTTTGTTGCCGCATTTACGTAGATATGTTCATGCCGTTTTTTGAAAAGTCGAATTTGCAAATTGGCCTGCTAGATTGATGTATCTATTCTGTGTGAATGCGCTGTTAAAACATGCAAGTACTCTGGGTTTATATCTAAATCAATTGCTCAATCTACAGTGTCATACACCACCTTGTCCTTCATTTAGGGACCAATAAGGAAACACGAATGAATGAAACCTCTGCATTCCAGGCTTAATGCCAAGGACTCGGCCTACGTTGAGTCGAGTTCGATTAGTAAGGATGGTTGTGTTTTTGTATGTTACTTTCGGGGTAAATTCTAAATAGACCTGATCAATGGTTGGGCGGGGCTGGCTATTCAGCCTAAATGTTCCTATTAAGCTAGCCCACGAAAAAAATACTTGTTCGGGCCTACTCAAATTAAGCTTTAATGAAATGGACTTTAGTTCGTGGATGACATGATTTGAACTACATAAGTCAAATAACCTATCATCAAGCTGTTGTCATTTCAAGTTTTACTACTTTACATGATCCGTGAGGTTCATGGGTCAAGCCTTGAGAACGGGGCCTAAAGTCATGAGTTTTGGTGAGGTTTTTGTTATCTTTTACTTCACATCTTCCATCTCACTTTCATCTAGAACTTGGAATCAGCCAATGTTTAGATGTCGTGGGTAATGAAATGAATTGGACTTTAATGCGCGGCTAAGTGTTTTGATACTAATAGTAGCCGATTTTGGTACAATTATCCAAAAAGTCATAAACCTATTATACGGATGCCAATTCAATCCAAAACCTTTTAATTGTGCCAAATTAGTCATAAACATTTTAAAGATTTGCCAATTTAGTCCTAAACCTATCATTTGGATATTTAGCCGGAAGAACTACATTAGCAAGTCGCAAAAGGTTTAAGACTAAATTAGAAAATTATCAAAATGTTTAGGACTGAATTGGCACAATCGAAAAGTCCATGACTAAATTACCAAATCGTCAAAAGGTTTAGGACTAAATCGACACATTGAAAGATTTTGCGATTGAACTGGCCTCCGCATAATAGATTCAAGTCTCCAGCCCCCTCACCCCCCTCCCGGCATTTCTTACTTGGATCTTAGAAAGTAAGAGTCACCAACATGTGGAATTATGTAAACATCGATTGAGTGCCCCTTTTGCCTCTTTCTTTTTTTTTTCTCCCCCTTGTCAATATTATTAGCACTACCGAATAATCCATTCAAAGCCTTACCTTAATCCCACAATTCCGTGGGCTTTGATGGTAAGCAACCAAAGCACGGAAAAGCCAACGACCCCCCAAAGAAAGTCAACGGTCAAACTTTCCAAAGCCTTTCACCTGCTTTATTTGCAATCAATCTGCTCCCCCAAAAATCTCCAACGGTATTTCGCAACCCAGTGGGCTCCTTCTTCACCTTATCCCCTCCTCTTCTCTCTAGCACGACCTCCATGAAACCTCCACCACCATCACTATAAAGCAGCAAAGCAAAGCATCGCCATTTCCGCTCTCAAGAAGACGCGCAGCGAAGCTAGCAACAAGCCGAAGATGCCGCCGCTGGCCACCCTCTCCCTCTCCTCCGTCGCCTCCCACTTCCCCTCTTCTTCTTCTTCTTCTTCTTCTTCCGCGTCCGGCAGAGCCAGAGCGTCCGCAGCTTCGCTCGCTTTCGGTTTCGGAGCGAAACCCGCGATACCCATTAGGCCCTTCGGGCGACCCGGCATCGTCTCCCGCGATCCCCCGGCCCGTCGCGCCGTGTCCATCGAGAAGGAGACCCCCGAGACGGAGCGGCCCGACACTTTCCTCCGGGAGGCGGACGGCGGCGGGGGCGGGAACGGCAGCGCGGCCGCCTCGTCGCCGCCGGGGTCCTCGGTGCGGGCGAGGTTCGAGAGGATGATAAGGGAGGCCCAGGACCGGGTGTGCGAGGCGATCGAGGCGGCGGACGGGGGCGGGAAGTTCGTGGAGGACGTGTGGTCGAGGCCCGGCGGCGGGGGCGGGATCAGCAGGGTGCTGCAGGACGGCGCCGTCTGGGAGAAGGCGGGGGTGAACGTCTCGGTGGTGTACGGGGTGATGCCGCCCGAGGCTTACAGGGCTGCAAAAGGCGCTGCTTCCGAACAGAAGCCCGGTCCCGTTCCCTTTTTCGCCGCCGGCATCAGCTCGGTGAGTGGATTTCGCGATTCGATTGCGATTGGTTCAGTTTGCTCTGATGAAGATTGTGAGAAATGGGGATTCTTCGGTTGTGGTTATATGATTATGGTTCTTTCTTTCCCCCAATTTTGATAATGATAAGTTTCGGTTTTTGATGATGAGGGGGGACTTGTGGTGGTGAAATGTGGGACAAGTTATGGGTGTCTCAGACTCTCAAGTCAGTTATTTCCTAATAGCGGTTCAAACTGATAGAGGCATTCTGCTGTGTTAGACGAGCCTAGCGGAATATAATTGCTCGAGTTTGAGTTTAGGACGATGGCAGACAAAATGCATTTTGCGACCAGCGAAAAGCCTCTTTTCTTTTTTAGCTCGCTAGAGAAATGTAGCTTTCCGAAACAACTTGCAAGAATGACTTTGTATCGCTGAAAAACCCGGTTTCAGTGGTTTAAGGTTATCCGAATGAGGTTGTTCAATCATCAAACTGTTCGAGTTGTGAAAGAACTACTGAGGTTTTTCAATGTCTATATCCTCCTTAACTTGCTCGCTGGTTTTTTTTTTCTTTTGCCTTATCAGGTCTTACATCCGAAGAATCCTTTTGCTCCAACGCTGCACTTCAACTATAGATATTTTGAGACTGATGCTCCTAAAGGTACTGACCCTTTTTTAGGTTTTTAGTGTCCTTTTTTCTATTATTGTTCCAGCATCCCGTTTGATTTCATTTTCAGAAGGGGATTTACATGTGATATCGGCATATATAATTATACTATATTTTCACTGTTCGATGGTCTGCAGTTCCACATTCCACCCCATTTATCACGGTTTAAGAACTGAAAGCAGTTTTTAGCTTTCGGTGGATTTGGCCTGTTGGCATAATCGGTAAGGAAGTACATTCCACCTTCATGATGTGGCCGCAATGACTTACTTCATAGAACTGCTTACTTGACATATTCGCCTCTTGTGAACTCTTTAATTGAGATTCATGCTGGAAAATTACAAAGGCCCTTGGGAAAAAGAAGTGTTCTTTAAGAACTGCTATGCTTGTCGGATCACTGTCCGGATAGATAGAGAAATGTCCATATTGGGGGGATTGGACTGTATGTATGGTCTATCTGGTATCATAACCTCAATGAGGTATACAATGAGATCCTCTCTCCAGTCTTATGCCCCCACAAGAGCCACTCCTAAAGGCAACATCTGGGTACTATGACATATGAAGGTTCCCTTTTTAAATGACCAAACCATTTGAATGGAATAGAAGCACTATTAGCTTGATGTGGTCATGCACGAAAGAAATGCAACTAGAGTATCTCTGCTTTATATTCTTTTAGATTGTAGTTCCAGCTATTGTTATGACTGCTACATGCTGTCGATTTGGATGCTGCTACGCCATCGCCTGTCTCTGTTGTAATATTATTTCCCTCGTTGAACTGTCTTCTGCCAAGCGCAATGTTTGAAGACTTCAAATGCGAGCATTAATCTGTTCAATCATTGATAATGTTTTGCTTAGCTGAGGTATTTGATTGACATCATCTACTATGGGGATTGAGTAATCCAATTACATTATTTGGGAAGCTTCTGTTTTACAAGTTATCATCTGAACTGTAGTTATACACGCATGGATATCATTGGTTTTCTTTAATAAGCACGAGGCATGTTCTTTAGTGATATCTTCCCATGAAAATTTGTGACACAAGGAAGAAAAGGATAGCTTCATCGCCCGTATTCATAGTGTTTCCTTTGTGTATTGCATGTCTCATCACATTCTAATTCTTACTTGCTAGTCTTATACATGTGCATTCTTTGCTTTAGCAGTTGTAATCTAATAACTACTGGCTAACGATTGTAAAATTTTGTAGATGCACCTGGAGCTCCGAGGCAATGGTGGTTTGGTGGTGGAACTGATTTTACTCCTGCTTACATCTTTGAGGAGGATGTCAAGCACTTTCACTCGGTAGATTGTCCTTTTAACTTGGCCAATTTGTTCAATCCAAATAATATGCATAGCTTGCGATCTAGTGGCTGATTATGTCTTACGAAAGCCCAGGTCTAGCGACTAGTTGTAACTCCTTTGTTCATATACTCCAACTGGGTTTGACATAGGCATGAAAAAAAAAGTGCATTTTCTAGAACTCTTAACTGCAAAAACTGTCCACTGTGTTGACTTCTCCCCTCGACCAGATTTAGGTGGCTCGGTCACTCTGCATAGCCAGAGTTTTTTTCTATATCCCCTCACTGAATCGCCTTTAAGTTTTTGCCCCCATCGCAATCCTACTGTGACTTATACTTACCATTTATGTGCTGACTTCAAGTTTTCACTTGCACAAGAGATGTAGTCACCTTGATGTGTCGTGTTAATGAAACAGGTGTGCTTATAGTTGCTAATAAGTCGTTCGTAGAACTTTAATTGCAAATAGTAGATACTCCTGCTTGATATTAAACTCACTCCTGCTTAATTTTTCAATTATAAGGTTCCTGAAAGGACTTTGTTTATTTTTCTTTGTAGGTTCAAAAGAATGCTTGTGACAAATTCGATCCTTCCTTCTATCCTCGATTCAAGAAATGGTGTGACGATTACTTTTACATCAAGGTACGCTTTCCTCAAAGCTTCTCATTATTGAATCTGTGCCTTCTCTGACATTCGGCACCTAATTGTGCATTGATCTTCGGCTGTATTATATATAAGTCTATCCTTCTCAATTGATCTAGTGGGGATTCATTCCCTTACTGGGATCTTCAGTGAATTCCTGCATTACAGGGAGTTGATTAAATAGGTTTGGCTATTTGATGCTGCACAAAATGTTCCATTTTTCATGTCATGCATTTTGACCAGGGCTGGGTTGAAAGGTTTCTTATGCTAGATACCATTACCTCTGTTGGAATATTCATATTTCATGATTGTCCTCAGGGTACCTATATCATGGTGATCAGTTATCAAAAGTCAGTACAAGTAGTTGGGTATGTGAGCTTAATTTTTCTCCATCTCAATCAAAATTTGTTGATTTGCAGCACCGAGGTGAAAGGAGAGGACTTGGAGGAATCTTTTTTGATGATCTCAATGACTACGATCAGGAGATGCTTCTTGCTTTTGCAACTGGTAATGCACATAAATGTGGGAAGGAAGCTTCCTCACGTGATTTCACAGTGGAATTTTCTTAGTGTTTCTATCGGACAGAAAGTAACATTTTTTTGCCCGTTTTCAGAATGTGCCAATAGTGTGATCCCCGCTTATATACCGATCATTGAAAAGAGGAAAGATACGCCGTTCACAGAGAAACACAAGGCATGGCAACAGCTGCGTAGAGGACGCTATGTAGAATTCAACTTGGTATGAAACATAGGAGAACACAAAAGAGGAGCAAAGCTGATAAAATTTAGTAAGTTTTCAGTTTTTCCCCTCTAAGCCTCGTAAATATTTTCCTTTCCGAAAATGTAGGTTTATGATCGGGGCACAACATTTGGACTGAAGACGGGAGGGCGAATTGAGAGTATCCTCGTTTCTCTTCCTTTAACTGCTCGGTGGGAATATGACCATGTAAGGTTTTTTTAATTGGTCTGTGCAGATATATATATTGGATCCAGAAAAAAATTTCTGAAGCCCCTTAACTCAAATCTGGATTATCTCCTTGTTTCTGTACAGAAACCAGAGGAAGGAAGTGAGGAGTGGAAGCTACTAGATGCTTGCATTAATCCGAAAGAATGGCTCCAGTAATTCTTGGGAAAGCTTGATGTGCGTTATTTTGCAGTGTGTAGTAATCACCGTTTCTTCTTCCCCGTCAGGTTTGTTTTGCTTGATGACCGAGTTGGTAGGCGCGCCCCAGAAATTGTTTAATGGCTAGAGGTAGGAGATATCGGCGGATCTCTTGTAAATCATGTTGTTGTGTACTCTTGTGTATCGGCGGCGAACGATAATTGCTCAATAAAAGCACTTGAGATATTTCAACAGGCTCTTGGTGATGGTGGATGGTCTTGTTGAGTTTGTCCCTTCATGGAGTAATTCTCTAAAGTTACTGCTTTTCTTCTTCCCCCTTTGGCCAAGGACATCGCACTACAACTTTTTATTATTTGGTCAAAGCAATAGGACTCGAGAGGTTGCTTTATTGCAAATCCAGACCACCTGTATAATCAGAACACCGTTTTTAGGAAAGCTTGGTTCCTTTTTGGTCAAATGCTCGGTTAGTAGTTTTTGAGCTTCCAAATCATCTAGTTTATTAATAATTGTGTTCCTTCTTATTCTATTAGTACTTGGCAAATTATAGAGCACAAGTTAAGGGTCATAATTCATTCTAAAGGAAGAATTTTCCATTTTAAAAAGTTTGGCTTCATGGGTCAAATATTTGATCTTGTGGTTTTTGAAACTTTCAAATCATGTAATTTACTTATAGCTGTGCTCATTTTGATTCTATTAGTACTCGGGAAAGTTTAGAGCATGGGTTGAGAGGGCCATAATTTCATTATGAAGGAAAAACTTCCTATTCAAAGAAAGTTTGGCTCATTTGGGTCAAATGCTTGATCATGTGATTTTTGGAGTTTCCAAATCATCTAATTTACTTATATTTATATTCAATTTGATTCTATTTGTACTTAGGAAAATTTAGAGCATAAGTTGATGACCCTAAGTTCATTCTAAAGAAAGAAAAGTTTGGCTCCTTTTTAGATCAAATGATTAATCGTTTGCTTTTTGGAGCTTCCGAATAATCTAATTTATCTATAATTACGTTGATTTTGATCCTATTAGTACTTAGTTACACAAAAAAAATAAGCGGTCGGTCAATTACTTTTACCAGAGCTGTTGAAACAAATAGGTTTGCCAACAATCATTTTGTCAGTACTAATGACGAGAACAAATTACCGTTAGATTACTTACTCTTATTTGGGCCATTTTTCAAAATCTAATATTAAAATCGTTTTAATATCATCAATTATATTAATAATTCGCTCAATTTTCGTTTTTTTTTTTTGTGGTCGAATTCCTCATTTTTTTTCGAAGTTATCATCTCTCGCGTGAAATTAGCAAAATTTTATCCGACTCACTTATCATTTTTGTTTATCACTAACAAGAAAAGAAAATAGCACTTTGAATGAACCGCTTGGATCACATCCCCAGATTGATCCAACGGTGGAGAAGCGGGCTCCTGGTTAAAAACCTCGCAAAACCCCTCAACAGAAAAACTCCATTAACTCACCGACTGTGACTCTAGACCCACCATCCCCGTCCATGTCTTCGCTCGTCAGGCAACGCCTCGCCTCCCTCGCTCGCCCCTTCTCCTCCTCCTCCTCCTCCTCCGCCGCCAAGCTCCGCCACCTCGACACCGCCGCCGCCGACGGCGACGTCGCCCCCGCCGCCCAGCTCTACTCATGGGGCCGCGGCGCCTCCGGCCAGCTCGGCGGCGGCATCGAGGAGGTCCGGATGTATCCAGCTCCCGTCGCCGGCCTCCCCCTCCCTCCCTCCTTCGCCCTCGCTCCTGTCCCCGGCAGACTCCATGGCTCCGGCCGCACCGACTCATCGCCGGCCTCCGATACCGCCGTTGAGGTTGGCATATCGTGCGGGCTGTTTCATTCTTCGGCGGTTGTGGATGGTAAGCTGTGGATATGGGGAAAGGGCGACGGCGGACGCCTAGGCCTTGGTCACGAGGACCCGGCTTTCGTGCCGGCTTTGAATCCTAACCTGGACGGTGTTCGGTGCATTGCTCTCGGTGGTCTTCACTCAGTCGCGCTGGATTCGCTTGGTCGGGTTTTCACTTGGTGCGTCGCGTCTCTCTTGAAGTGATCAGGAGTGAAATCTTTGTCGCTCTTGTTGTTGCTGTTGTTGTTAATTTGATTGGAATGTCGGTTCTGATGGACTTGAGCGTCCTCGGCATTCTGATGTGAAGTGTGCAGGGGTTATGGTGGTTTCGGAGCGCTTGGGCATTCCGTGTATCATAGAGAGCTCTTGCCGAGACTGGTGGAGGGGTCGTGGAATGGGAGGATTTGCCATATTGCGACTAGTGGCACTCATACTGGTGCAATCACGGAAGCAGGTAAGCAAACTAGAGTTTTTAACTTCCGTGCTCTCGTGATTTGGATTTGTATATGTGTGTTTGAGGTTTGAGGCAGGGAGATGCTTGCCAGTTTCTAATGTTTTGAGTATTTCTGGTTAGTTCTGGAATTTGTAGCCGTCTAAAATGTATTGCTTTATTGTTGTATGACTTAGCTGCTGGTGTTGAACGGTGAGAAAGCGTGCTTAATTGGAAAGTTGGTGCCTTTTCACCCCTGAGGGCATCACACATTGTAAAAATTCACATTAATCAATTCACTGTGTGAACTAAGAAATCATTTAAAATCATGACGCATTTGTTGGCTTCCAAATCATTTCTTTGATCAGTAGTGCTGGTGATGCTCCCTGTGTCATGTTGCTGCCCGGATCTGATCTGGTTGTAATTATGGTAATGCAAAGTACGCTGTGAGTGAATAATGCACCTGGGGAGGGGAGGGAGATAGGTGAATATGTGACTGTAAGCCAGAAGTTAGCAGTCAAAATCAGGCTCTTGGATTGGATTAATAGGGAATCTAGAGATTACCTTGTTTCGTTTCGTATATGTCAGGTTCTGAAGTTATTACTCATCCGATGTCATTGCTCTTCACTATATGTAGGCGAGCTGTATACCTGGGGTCGAGAAGAAGGAGATGGTAGATTAGGCCTTGGTCCTGGTCGGGGACCAGATCAGGCAGGTGGCCTCAGTGTTCCTTGCGAAGTAAAGGCGCTACCTGTACCCGTGTCATCTGTTTCTTGTGGTGGTTTTTTCACCATGGCACTAACTAAGGATGGGCAAGTTTGGAATTGGGGAGGTTCGGAAGTTTATATTTTTGTTTGTATTTTTCTTAGTTATTTGGTTTTGCATTAGTTGCTTTGGCTGTTACAATTAGTGAAGTGTTTAATGAGTTTGTTGTTATGTTTTTGCTATATGCTTGAGTGGAGATCAAAACAAGGTTATCAAAATTGCGAACAACTGATGATTGTTTGGGTGGTTTAAAGCACATCACGCACAAAAAGTCGGGGCACATGCGGAAAAACTTTCTCAGTTTGTCTCCAACTGAGTAAAAACTGGAGGCACTGAAGCTCAGCTCCTCCAGGATATGATATTGGCCTCAGCGCCATCTGGGATATCTCTTTTTTCTTTTATTTGTTTACAAACTCTGTATATATAAAAAAATAAGTAAGACCGGATAGGCCAACCACAAATTGGCACGTGGCGAATCTTGGTGCAAGCTTGGGCCTCTTTCTCGGTATTCTGCATTAATGTTTTTAAAGATGTGAAAAGTGGACATGCAGAGAAAATGATCTTTCATTTTTCTTTTCTATTTACGCCAGTTTATGGGACACGTTATGTGAAGTGGTATTTATTTAGAGAATTGGTCAGTGTGCAATATTTTAATTAGTCTTTAAGATTGCAAGTGTTTGAGGGTATGGTTTAACAATATTCTGGACCCTCAGTAACTAGCTCTTTCTCCTAATAAAATAATATATTATTATGCATTAAGAATGTAAGAAAGATAACCTAGTGAGAAACTACATTGTAGTGCATCTCTTGATAGATGCTCAACCACTTTGAAATTGCAAAAATCACCAGTATTTTGTTGAACTCTTATGGATAGTTATCATTGAGGGTTGAGGGGTCCCTCACCCGATGAGAAGGGTCTACTCATTTCATTTCTCGCAAAAATTTGACAAAGGGAAGCAAGGCATAAGAATGAAAAAATAGACATATTTAACGAGTGAGAACTTTAAATTAATGTAGCTAACAAGGACTAAGAGAGAAGAATGATGCAAGGCCAGAGCCGTCAGTTATAAGTCGACAAGTCATGGTCAAGTGATTGTAATCCTTACACTTATTTAGCTAAAACTGTCATTGCGGCAGTTCATGGTAGAGGGATTTTTTTGTTTCTATGGTGGTATGGTGGTAGTGGAACTCACCATATACATTAACGGTGTTTTCAAGTCACTGTCATACTGGCTGGGCCTTTATGGTTATTTATTTGGGGGATTTTGCAACAGAAGAGACAAATTTCTAAAATAATTGAAGGGACTAAAATTTGTAAGATAAGTGGCCATTCTAATAGTTTCAGCAAGGTAACTTGCATCCCAAAATGTTCTGCTCATTTTCCATCACAATAAGTCGATGGATTCTCAAGTTTTTCTTGTAAGAAGTTCAATTTTACAGGGGAAATGCTATCTCAACATGGATAAATGAGTTTCTGCCATGCTCATCATAATTTCTGATTCTTTTTTGCAAATAATTTTTCATTGATTGTTTTATCTTCTTCCTTCTTTCAAAAAAAGGAAGAGAGAGAAAAAAAAAATCGAACCATGTACACATGCTTTTAAGCACATTGTTATGAGATAGTTGACCTTGTCCTTCTTCGTCATACTGATGGAGCGTTCTTTGTGCTTTTTAGCTAACTCAAATTATGAACTTGGAAGGGGTAACAAAGCTGGTGGCTGGGAACCAAAACCCATCCCAAGCCTTGAACATGTTCGCATCATCCAGATAGCCAGTGGTGGATATCATTCTCTTGCTTTAACTGGTAAACAGTTGGAAAATTTCTTTATGGAAATTAGTCTATGCCTCTTTTTCTCTGATTCTGATGGATGTTTATGTTACATTGTATAAGGTGATGGAAAGGTGTTCTCCTGGGGTCATGGTGGACATGGTCAGTTGGGCCATTCTTCTATCCAGAGTGAAAAAGTTCCTACAGTGGTCGAGGCATTAGCTAATGAGCATGTCATCTTTATTGCTTGTGGAGGTTCAACTTCAGCAGCTATAACTGGTAAGAAGTGAGAAATGCATTAAGTCCTGTGAATTTATCTGTTAAACTGCATATGTTACTTACAGTCGTTGCTCTTTATGGGAAGCAGCATCTTGGTTTATCAAATCGTAAATATCCCTTCTGGAGTATTTGTAAGCAAGACTTTTAAGTGTTTTTTTTGTTGAAATATCCACTCTGTGATGTTGGGGTCCTTTCAAGGGTTGCAGTTGCGGTAGTTCTTGTGCGCTTGGGCATGCTTATAAATTGGTGCTTTGGGCCTTGAATCTCTCAATTTGTTTTTAAAGGAGTTAGCTTAGTACATTTATTTTTCAAGTCCTTGATGGTAGAAAGAGTAGGTAAATACTTTCTCTTTTGTCTTCAACAGACAGAGGGAAATTATACATGTGGGGAAATTGTAAAGATTCTCAACTTGGAGTTCCTGGGTTGCCGGAGGTGCATCCTACTCCTATTGAAGTAAAGTTCTTGAGCGAAGATGATGGACTGGGGCCCTGTAACGTGTTATCCGTTGCAATTGGTGCTTCTCATGCAATGTGTTTGGTTTCCAGGTCAGGTTCTGCTATATCTGTCTCAAAGGATAACCAAGCGGGTACTGACTGGCAAAACGGGAATGATAATTAGATAAGTTCTTAAAGTGATGAGGCGTCAACTTTTGTACACACATCCATGTACTGTTATGTCTGATGGCTGGAAGAGTTTGCAAACTTTTGAGAGCGAGAAAGTTTGAAGGTAGCTTTAAGATTTCTCCGTCTTCCCAAGGCAATTATGGTGTGGGGGAGGTAGACCTCAGAAAGCAAGCCTGTCTTTCTGCAAGAGAGCCACCGTTACGCCAAGCTCGTGATTCTAGAATGTCCTTGGAAATCAGTCGAGCAGGGTTCAGATCCAGGGTTTTGTATGAAAAGAAGAGGAACTGAGAGTTGTTGTAGTCTCAATACTTGTATCATGATTTCTAAGACCCTGTAACCTTATAGAGAGAGGGATGCAACCTTTTTGACAGATGCTGACATTGCCGCATGTTGTCAAGGGGATTGCTTCCGGAGCTCAAGCTCATTATCAACGTCGTCATTGTCACTCGTCATGCATTGCCGAATAGATTATTTTAATAATAATTTTTCCCTTAAAATCTGTCAATCAAGCCTGTTGCTTTTGCTTTGATGGCTTTCATTCTCCGAACAGGTTTTTATGTGTCTCATTAGTGGCGGTGAATGCCGGTGTAACCGTCAACCGTACATTATCTGAAACTTTCTCCTCATCCTCCTCCTCGTCCTTATAGAACACTCCCAAATATCAACTTCAGAAGTAGCTGGTAATGTGAAGTCACCAGTTCGAGGCTTGGAAAATCGTGCAGTCATTGTTCTGAAACTTTCTCCTCATCCTCCTCCTCGTCCTTATAGAACACTCCCAAAGATCAACTTCAGAAGTAGCTGGTAATGTGAAGTCACCAGTTCGAGGCTCGGAAAATGGTGCAGTCATTGTTCCGATGGGCATTGAAGTGGAGCCAAGGATGGGGTGGGAATTGGCTTAGCTGGGAACCCGGGTCGATTGTCACGTTCCAAAAAAGAGACGTTACGGGATTCATAAAGATGGCCATCAACAGGGCCGAGGCGGAGGACAAAACATCTAGAGTACTTGGTAGGGACAAACGGTCCTTCCATGTAACTACAAGACCGCTCAAAACAGCTCTGCTCAGTCACTCCACTCGTGAATACAAAAGAAAGGACAGAGAGAGAGAGAGAGAGAGAGAGAGAGCATGCGCGTAGGGACGAAATGAGCAGCACTCGATCTCTCTCTCTTTCTCTTCACCCTTCGGGCCACACTTTGTTTGGTCGCATGACTCGGAGGCCGCCGTAACTGGTTCATGCGTGACCTTTTTTGCCTTGCCCCCCCCTTTTTTTGTGGGGGGCGGGGGAAAAAGTAATTATTTTTGGCTTTGTTTTTTTTTTGACAATCATGCATTCGGGCCTTTCCTTATTTACTAAGCCTAATAATGGGAAAGGCACCTTTCCTCTTTTCTGGTTCACAGTTTTCACGTATGCTTCATTTACTCCTCTTCGCATGGCCTCGTCCAAGGTAAGAGAATCAACAAAAGAATGACGCAATCCGCGCATGCCCATCGGCATCTTTCAAAGACCCGTTTTCGCGCTTTTAGTGTAGCTTACTCGGTATAATCCTAATTCATCTCTTAACCATCGCAATGTCGAAATTCAATAGTTATCATCTTGCCTCCATCCCGAGCGGATCCATCTCCGCCGACCCTTTCATTCCATTCCCGTGTTTCTCGTATTCGGGATTTACATTCTCTGGGATTAGTAGTTAACTCCCCACTGTTCAACATTGAGAGGAAACAGTCGACAGCTATGGCTTCCAACAGCGATATTTGATCAGCAAGACAGCATGGACGACAAAACGAAGGAAGAAGCGACAAAGGACGAGAAAAGACCATAGCTCATGCAAATGTCACTTCACCGCCCCCTTTTTTCATTGATGCTGTATCAAATCCATCACACCCCGTCACTCCCCTTTTTGTCTATTAACGTACGCTAACAAAATTAGTAAAAGAAAAAAACCCCATAAAAGAAAAAATCAAAGCAAGTTACAACCTCTTTGAGCAAAATTAAAGCAAAAAAAAAAAAAGGGAAGGAAATGGCCAAAAACAAAAATTAGAATTTGAGTTAACTAAAGTATTCCCCCCAAATCTACAAGTTAAAATTGTATTGGAAACCTCGTATAACATCTTGAAATAATGTCTCGCGTCCCCGCCGACCATGCCGTCAATCAATCTCGCGGGTTTTCCCCGCCGCGGAACGCCGAGCACTGCGAGGCGGGCCGCGACGGCTGCGTCCCGGCGCTGGCCGGGCAGCCCTCGAGCCCCACGGGCGGCGCCATGCAGTTGTACGACAGGCAGACCTCCGCGGCGTCCGGCACCGCCATCCCGCGGTCCCACGGGAACCCGGAGATGTAGTTGTGCTGCAGGTACAGCGTCCGGGTGCGGCCCTGGAGCACGCTCTTGACGTACTCCTTCGGGACGCTCCCCGTCAGGCGGTTGTTGTTCAGGTACAGGGTCTCCACCCCGATGAGCGCCGTCGACAGCTCCCCCGCCAGGGCGTTGTGGCTCAGGTCCACGACGGATCCGGGGCCGTAGGATGGCGGGTCGGAGGCGGCTCCGGCGGCGGGGACCCCACCGGAGAGATTGTTCCGTTGCAGGAGCATTGATTGGAGGGACGGGGTGGAGAAGAGGGAGGGCGGGATGGGCCCACCGAAACGGTTCATGCTGAGGTCGAGGTACACTAACTCCGAGAGCGATGCGAGGCCGCTGAGCGGGCCCCACATGGCGTTGCCGCTGAGCGACAGGTACCGGAGCGTCGGCGGCAGCGGCGGCACCTGGCCGAAGAGGAGGTTCTTCCTCAGGTCCAGGTGGAGGAGCGCCGCCGAGACGGGCGGCACCCGGCCGAAGAGCCGGTTCGACGCCAGGATCAGGACCTTGAGCCCCGGCAGCGCCGGGAGGCGCGGCGGGATCGGCCCGGCGAGCTGGTTGTAGCTCAGGTCGAGGGTGTGGAGGCCCCGGAGCGCGGCGAGGGATGCCGGGATCGGGCCGGTGAGGCGGTTGTTGGTGAGGGAGAGGACGCGGAGCTCCGGGAGGCGGCCGAGCTCCGGCGGGATCGGGCCGGTGACGATGCCCGGGGAGAGGATCAGCTGGGTGAGCCCGGTGAGGCGGGCGAGGGACGGGGAGAGGGAGCCGGCGAGCCCCGGGGAGCCGGAGAGGCCGCCGGCGCCGAGGGAGAGGACGGCGACGCGGCCGGAGAGGGAGCAGGTGAGGCCGGCGAAGGAGGAGCAGGGGTCGGGGGCGGCGAAGTCCCAGGTGGAGAAGAAGGAGGCGCCGGGGAGGTCGGTGAGGCTGCCCTTGACGGCGAGGAGGGCGGCGAGGTCGGCGGCGCTGATCGCCTGCTGGAGGGACGGGGGAGGGCGGGCGAGGAGGAGGGCGGCGAGGAGGAGGAGGAGGGGGGCGGCGGAGGGCGGCGGTCCGGCGGCCATCGGCAATGCGGGGGGGAGTGGAAACGGAAGTGGGGAGGGGAGTGAAGGAGGTGACGACGAAGACGATGCAGAGGTTTGTCAGTTTGACATGGATTACGGTAAGTTGGGGGCTATTTCAGATCGGTTTTTGTGTTTTCATTTTTATTTTGTATTTTGTTTTGTTTTTGTTTTGTTTCCGACCAAAAAAACGAATTATTTATTTTTTGTTCTTATGAATTGTGGGTAAGAAAATTGAAAATGGGTAAGACAGAGGTGGTGGGGGGGGGGGGGGGGGGGAGAAAAACGGTCGGTTGGAGGAGAACGGTGGCGGTATTATTCAATTTGTAGCCAAGGGTGTGCATCATTTCGGAAAATGATTTTAATTTTAGTTTTGATTTTTAATTTATATGAACTGCTAAAGATCGGATTGGAGAATATAGGACGGGTGAATTTTTTTTAAAAAAAATTGGATTAATTTTTTTGCCACGTGGGGTCTTGGGTTTTTAGTTTTGGAGAGGCTCGCCTTGTGACTCTAGAGAGAGAGAGAGAGAGAGAGAGAGGGAGGGAGGGAGGGGGGGGGAGATTCCACGTGTCCAATGAGGAAACGCCACGTAGGATTATGCCATCCTTCGGTGGCCAGCAATGGCGATCACGAGACTAATCTAGAGAGAGAGAGAGAGAGAGAGTGAGTGATGCAGATCTGTGCAGCAATCTTAGAAAGGATACGGCCAAACCAGACCTGATTACACGACCAGAAAAAAACAAAAGACAAAAAACCAGACCTGATTAGGGCCTTAATCTTATGATAATCAGATCAGTCAGTCTTAATTAGTTTTCTTACTTCTTCCTCCTTTCTGCAGCAGTCTTCTGCAAATGTGCAGCAGTTGGACTTTTATATGTTTGCAAATAAATGTGGAATCTTTTCCGAATCTTTCGTGCAAGGCTAGTTGAGTAAAAGAAAAGTTTCGATTGTCAAATCAAAGTGAAAATTCGGATCCTGCTCGCTCAGATTTTGAATTTCTTCTTCTTCTTTTTTCCACATGGTGGTATGGAATAAATAATTGAATAGTTAAAAAAAAAAATTAGACATGCCCATTTTTGGAGGGTTAATTTAATACTTCCGCTTTGTGGGGCCCGCTTATATTATCAGAAGAAAAAGGGGAAAAAAAGAAAATGTTAATACCACTAAAAACCCAAACTGGTACATTTGTGATAAATTTACAAAAAAAAATCCAAACTGGTATATTTGTAATAAATTTAACCTATATTAGTTTCCGTTAAATAAACCACGAACTGATATACATGTGACAAATGAACGGTAAAACCGCAAACTGGTATAACTGTCAACTGCCACATATCATCCAACTCAGTAATTTGACTGTAAAATTTAATGGAAACTAACGGAGGATAAATTTATCACATGTGTGCCAATTTTGGGTTTCTAATGACCAAAAAAATAGGTTTTGGTAGACTTGTTACAAGCGTACCAATTTGGAATTTTTCGTGGTATTAACCCCAAAAAAAAATGAGGAGCCCTCGAGAAATCCTGACTCAAAATTGGTCGGGATAAAGACTACATTGGCCAATCGTTAAAAGGTTTATGATTAAATTAGCAAAAATGAAATATTTGGAATTGAATTTGGCCGTCCCAGAGTAGGTGTATGACCTTTTTTTGATAAATTTTCCGAAATCCTTCATTTTTTTAACAACGTAATTAATAAGGGATGAGATCAAAATATTATTGCGGAACCAATTATGATGAACGAAATAAATGAGATCGTTGTCTTTTTTTTCCCTAGAAATTGAAAACGTGTGTATTGTGGTTGGGCTTCAATTAATGGAATTGAATTGAGTTTATCATCATCCGGAGTCGACGATCGAATTAAAGCTTGTGGATGAATTGCCATTGATTGTTTGCATTTGTGTCATTCCACTCATCTCACAATAATTGAGACTTCATGTTGTCATATCGATTTCAGCTGTAAGCACTTGGAATTTGTCGTGCAATGCAATGCAGCTCGTACAATGTTATCATCTTCCAAAAAAACAAAAAAAAAAAAAAACATGTCCTACGTTTCAAAAATGAGAAAAGAGGTTTCCATCATAATTTGAATAAATTTGAATTCCTAATTCCATCGTTTCAAGAAAAACCCCGAGCTGATACATTCGTGTCATATTTACTCAAAACTAATTTTCATGTCAAAAAAAAAATCTCAAATCGGTATTCCCGTAACAAATCTACCGCAATCCTGAGTCAAAATTAGGGATTTTGGTAGGCTTTCAAAACTGGAGGGAGTTTTTAGGGGAAAATTAGCAGATTTCCAAAATCTCACTTTGTTTTACTTCATATCTGGCTTCCCGAATCGACATCGTTTAGGAGACCCAGGTAGGTTGATTTTCCATGTCGGATGCACGTCGCAAACTCGTCATTCGAGTTGTATTGCCGCGTGTGGTTCCACCTCAACAATCTAGCCGATGATAGATTTGTCATGGGAGTATCAGTTTGAGATTAATTGTGAAGTGAAAATTAGTTCGGGGTAGATATAACACAAGCGAACTAATTTGGGATCTTTGGTAGTATTGGCCCGACTTTCTTCCCAACAAGAAGACAGAGAATCTCATTTCAAGAATTAGGATATGTTTTTTTTTTTTGTCGTTTCCGAATAATGCCAAGACAAAAAGCTTCAATAATATGCACGTTCAACGTGGATCACACTGGCAAGACTCCAGATGGGACTCGCACCATCCAGCTGATTAAATAATTCGAGGACCTTTTTGTAAAAAAATCTTAAAGTGGATGGTCAAATTAAAAAAATCGATTTCAACCCATGCAAGCACATGCAATGCCAAAACGAGTACCAAAAGTCGAGACGGAGAGACGTCGTGACGTTGCCGCCACCAAAGGAGAGACAAAATCTAATTTAAATAAAATTACGAATAAAACTCGTAAAATATAAAGAGTCTAAAGCAACACTTTACTAGGAATTGCAAATTCGATTTTTATTCAATGTGCAGAGGAAGGGAATCTAATGATGTTGCGTAATAATTACACACTAAATCTTATAATCTTATCCACCGAATCGGTCTCGTCGACCGCAATTTTCAAATATGTGTTGTGGAGCGGCGACACTCGACTGGAAGAGCGACGTTATGCTAGTGTCACGTGATGGGACCGTTCTACACATTATGCTCTTAGACGAATGTTGTTATCTCGAGCTTTGCGTGTTCGTCTACTGAACCGCTTGCCATCCCGACAACCTAATTTTGCAGAACTCGCACGTACATGGGGCAATTTGGATCTCATCAAAATCGAATCGAAATCAGAGTCGAAGCTCGTAGAGCCATCATCATCGTGCCGAAGTTACTGACAAGTGGCACGGATCATGGGGCCTGATTTAATACGGGCTTCAACAATTTTCTTGGCAAAACGTCTCATTATTGGTCGATATCCTATTAACAAAATGGGCCTTTTGGGATCGGATCTATGTACCGTGAGTTGCAACTAAACCTATTAGTGTAGTGTCTTGTCAGCCCAAAAAGAGCCCATCGGAACTCACCAACTTCTGAGATCATGCATAGAGTAGGAATGATTTTTTGGGCCTCAAAAGATCTCAATTTGTTTCCTCTTTTTGTCCTATTTAGTCTTTGAAATCGGGAGTTCACATGGACCTTTTGCTGTGTAAATTGCTTTCTACACATGTGGCCTCCATTGGGAGAATCCGGTCCGGTTCGATTCAAGGCCAGTTCCAGGAAAGAGCAAGAGTGTTCACTTGTAGAAAACTCCGGAACCGACTGGGCTCCATTCCAGTGTTAGGATCGATTTTGAACCGGTTAAGACTATTTCTTAAGGTAAAATTTTGCTTTATTAACAACTAAGAAACTCAGAGAATTAAAAGAACCCATAACTCACTCAGTCATTCTAGTCTTTAGCCTTTCTTTTAGTCTTTCCAATTTCGCCAAAAATAACAAGAAGAGGAGGAGGAGGACGGCTCTATGTTCTACCTGGGTATTGGCTTGGAATCGGCCGGTTAGGTTTCAAAGGAAACCAGTTTGGGTCCCGATTCTAGGTTTATTGAAACCGGCCCTCTTTGCTCGGTTCTTGATTCCAACTCCAGAACTAGACCACCTAGAGATGCTCGAATTACTTACCTTAGTCTAATAATGACCTATCTCTCGAGGGACTGTGAAAGATGTTCCATTCCAAATATTCATGTTATTGCGTTGACTTATATTCCCCATTGGAAGCCAGCTAACAAACCTACCTACCTACTACGTGATATTTCTCATTTCGATCTTTTGAGTAACGAAAAATCTCGTATGGACCACAACGATTTCGACAATTATGGCACAGCCATTCGAAGAAGAGTTGAGCTATGCTACAATTAGTCAAAATGACTCTCCCTGCTACCAATTCTTTGATCATCCTTTCCATCCTGTCTAAGTGCTGACACAGGCTTGTCCCTTCTTGCATCTTGCTCGGAAAGAACCGTTGCTGAAGAAACTTTATGTTTGCCATTGTCATTGACTCATACATTCTCGGCGAAGTCTCCCATTGAAACTATTACCTTATCCTTGACTGGCATTAGTGCCATATCCGCGGGCTATAACCCAAAACTGACCGGGCTGTAATTAACACTGTTGATAACTGCTCGTCATCAAGGAAGCTTTTCATGGCTTCAAATCCAGTTGGCTATCTCATCCTATAGATCTCTTCTTCTTTGCGTATAGGGGTCTAGAACATTCAGCCTCTATAGAAGGAAGGCAACTCCTCTTTAGGGTGAGTGGTTTCAGATTCCTTATAGGTTCCACATGGAACCTAGAATCTACCATCGGGTACAGGTTCCTCATTTTTTGGAACTTAGAACCTACCCGTCGGAACCTGAAACCTACCCTGTCACAGGTTCCAAAGTCTAATAGGTTTTTTTTTTTTTCATCAAAACGAAAATGAACGCAACAATATTGAACAAACTTGTTATTCATTAAAGAGAATACAAAATACTAGTTTTCCTGACATTACGGTTCAAATAAATATAATTAAAATGAGAATTCATTACATAAATCGATACTAGGGGTGAGCAGTTTCATGTTTCGTATAGGTTTCACCCATGATAATAGGTTCCTTATTTTTTGGAAGGCCCAATTCTTTAAAAAACCCTCAACTTTAGCCTTTGTCCCAATTATATCCCAAACCTTTTTTTGTATCATAAAAAATCCCAAACTTTCACTTTTGTCCCAAATCTACCCCATTAACTTTTCGCCCAATTTTTTAATAATATTTTTTATTTTTTCGAATTTTTTATTTTTTCTTTTCTTTTCTTTTTCCTTTCCTTTTTTTTTTGGTTTCACCTTCAACCTTTGGCCCCGACCTCGCCGGCGAGCTGAGCTGCTCGGACCGGCCGACCCGCCGTAGATTGAAGGTGAAACAAAAAAAAAAGGAAAGGAAAAAGAAAATAAAAGAAAAATAAAAAATAATATTAAAAAATTGGACGAAAAGTTAATGGGTTAGATTTGGGACAAAAGTGAAAGTTTGGGGTTTTTATGAGACAAAAAAAAGTTTGGGATATAATTGGGACAAAGGTTAAAGTTGAGGGTTTTTTAGGGAATTAGGCCTTTTTTGGAACTTGAAACCTATCCTATCACAGATTTGAGGGTCGGTTCCAGAGTCTACTCAGGTTTCACCTGCATTATTAATTGAATAATTGTAGTGAATTATCACCTTTAATGACCACCACTTACTTCTATAATCCACTAACCGCAACTTATATTTAGGCATGCGAAAAATATAAAACGTTAACAAGTTATAAAATGAAAGTTCAGATTAGTGGTTTCAGATTATATTATCATCATCTAACGCCATGAAACACAGCAAAATCACGCGAAGATATAGACTAAGAAAAAACACAAAAAACTTGTTTTGGTTGCATGTTGCGGGTTGTAGGTTGCAGGTTTCACCTATCTAGAACCTGGAACTTATCCGTCGAAACAAGTTTTTCAATTTTTGGAACCTGGAACCTACCCTGCATACCTTGAAACCTAAAACCTAGAGATTTCTACTGATCAGGTTCCAGGATAAAACCTGGAACCATGCTCACCTTTACTCCTCTTTCGTCTTTTTTGGCTCTCCCCCATATCTTTTGTTACTACTCAAAAGTTAGAAAAAACTCTTAAGTGCATTTGTATGTCCGGGTTGGTTTTGCTTCTAACTTTTAAATTTCACTTGTGTTTCTTATGTCCAAGAATCTTATGCGTTTTGTCGTTTGATGTCATTTCGCACCATGAAAAATTTGTCTCGTGTTATTATCAAGAAAAATAGTTACTCACGTAATGTGTAAATTGTAGGGTTCATCAACAAAAAACAACGCAGCGGAATATAGAACCCTAGATAGGATCCATGTGTATATTGAAATCAAAAATGAATTTCGATACGTACCTTTTGCAGATCGAAGATAAATCAGCAACTGATTGTGTCTGGATGAGCGCCCCAAGTGTTGCGCCTCTACCGGTATCCACACACACGAACGGAATTCTCCAACGATCCACGTGCTAGCGAAAGATCTTGAAGTTCCTTTTCTTGAACGCCTTTTGATTTTCGATACTCTATCGAAAAAACCCTAGAAAGAGAACGACTATCTATTTATACAGCCTCATTATCTAGCGGAATTAAAAGAAGTGGGCCGGGCTATTTGGGCCCGCCAAACCGTCCACCTTCAATCGTACGTTTAATCGTTATCTCATAACGCGCACGACCGCATAGATAATTTAAATAGGAGAATAAATTAAAATCTACTTCTTAAGTAGATCAAGGCGCACAGACAATATTAAGTCCATTTGCTATTGTGTGCGACCCTGTAGGTTCACTAAACATTAGCAGTGTGCCCAAAACTCTTTTGGCCCACAAGCCATAAGCGGTCTCTAGCAAGACATTATGACTACCTAAGTATAGTGAAGATCGATTTTCCGACACAATCTAATCCACAACTAATATTAGAGTATCAACCTTGATTGATTCTTAGGGCAGACCACTAACATAAATATTTTAGGATCTTCAAGAGAGAGGGAGAGAGAAAATGCGTATGAGTTTCATCTTTATCGATAACTTTTTTTTATACAATTTAGTCATAAACATTATGACAATTTGCTCATGTAGTCCTTCCGACTAATTTTGGTTTGAAATCTCTGACGTGGACTCTGATCGTCCTACGTACATCGTTCACGAGGACAATTTTTTAATTTATTATTAATTTATTTTATTTTATTTTCTAAATCGTGGCTGGCAAGGGTCACCAAAATAAAATGTATATAATTTATAAAAAAATTAAAAATTTGTAAAAATTATCCACATCAGAGCCGGTTGTGCAACGTAGGATAGCTCACGTCCACATTAACGATTCCCACCGAACTACATTAGTAAATTGTCAAAAGGTTATGACTAAATTGGCCAACTCAAAAGGTTTATAACTAAATTGGCATCCATACAGTACGGTTTGCACCTTTTTGGTAATTTTCCCAGAAATAAAGCAATGTAATGTAACAAAAAAACTAGTTATCTTTATCTAATAAGAAAATAACAAGATATCATATGATATACATGATATTCAATATCTCCAACAATATTCTCTAATAGGGAATTCTCCACTAATCCACAAATATTTCAACGTTATGGCAAGAAAGTCAGTAGGTATTATATTGAAAGATTTCATGCTGAGGTACCTCATAGAATGGCAATTTGGAGACATAATCGATCATTCAACTGAAATAATAGAAGCACTTATGGCGTATTTGTTTCGGGGAAAACTACATGAGAATGGAAAATATATTCCCGGAAATAATATTCCAGGAAAATGTTCTAACTTTTTAAGTTAGATTATTCATTTTCCTAATTTTTAGCATACATATTTTCTTTGATCGTAAATTATTTTCGATTGACTCATCATTTTCAACAAACTAAGCATGTTCATGTCCAAAAAACTAATTCGGGAAAAATTCTCCACTCAAACAAATGCATTTTAAGGTTGCGAAATCTTTATCCTCTAGGTTCATGTGGTGGATGAGGATTTACAACAGATGCAAAATTCAGGTAGAGCTAAACCAGGGACCACATGCACATATTTGGTTTACTAAACAGTACAAAAGATCACAAAGTTTCATGTGGACCGCCTAAATTTCCACTCCAAGAAGATGCCGAATTTAAAGTTTTTATAATGAAAAATCTTCTTGGGAATGATAATTATGCAGTCACGGGTCACACTGCCAAGAGTATCTTTTGGGTTGCAGGACATGGTGGGTGTTCCAGGTCTTATTGCTTGTGTCCTTTTGTGTGGTGCTCCTTCTGATGTGAAAGTGGTAGGTGCATGCAAGACCCTCGTTTTAGGCAACGTCAATTAAGAGTTTGGGACCGCTTTGGCTTTAGGTACCCCCAAAAGGTTTTATTCCCTATTTTTGGAAGCAACTCTCCTAGATTTTCATGAACTCATTTTTTTTCTTTTTTTCTTTTTATTGTGATCAGATTATATCTAAAGTTATGACATGCCATCATCGTCTTTAGAGAATATAAACAAAACAATTTTGTAGATTCAATTCTGTCAGGCCACGCCACTCACGCATCAAAGAACCTTGATTGAACAGGAACTATTAAGTTTTTTCACGTTTTTATGGGATCGAAATTGATACTATTCATCACATTATATATAGAACAAGCCTATATGGTATCTATTTTATTTACTCACGTCGAATTTCGAATCAGTGTTCGCTCTCGAGGCTTGAATCTTGAAAGAACCCCCCACCAAATCACATGACTCACCAATTAACTTGATCTACCTTTACGAATTTAACAAATAATTAGGTTCTTGGCATACTAACCATGAGAATAGCCCGACTCCCATCATATATTTAGCAAATTAAACATGCTTATCATCCTTTGGCTTTGTGGGGCCAGTCTTTAACTACTACTTAAACTTTAGCTGTTACTACTCCTCGAGGGCCATCTTAGACTAGGGACAGTATCCGATGGAGAAAATAATATTTTCCTCCGGCCTTTTCCTTTATGAAGGGGAAACCTATTCGAGTTCCTCATAACACAAAAATTACAACATTGCTAAGGATAAAAGGGTTTCTTTTAGATTTTCCAATATGTTTCTATGAAGGACTTAATTGCGAGGTTTTAGCAAGCTGATTTTTGTCCGGAACAAAACGCGTGAAATCCCGTGTTTTACGACATCTTGTCTCCCATTCATAATGACTTTAGAGACTATATTAATCGCTCTGTCAATGAATCCTTAGATTACTATTCGACGATGCGTATAGACGGAACGGCTTCGTGCACTTTTAAAAAGATTAATCGAGTCATGCATTTGAATACCCCCGTATTATAAATAATTTTCCTTTTTTAGCCACGAGTCTAACGTGATTAGCTCATGCAACATCCATGATGGATCACGGGATCAACTTTATTAATCGCTCTGTCGGTGAATCCTTAGATTACTATTCGACGATGCGTGTAGACGGAACGGCTTCGTGCACTTTTAAAAAGATTAATCGAGTCATACATTTGAATACCCCCATGTTATAAATAATTTTCCTTTTCAAGCCACGAGTCTAACGTGAATTGCTCATGCAACGTCCACGTGATGGATCACGGGATCAACTTTATACATGCAGAATTATCAAAGGAAGAGATTTGATGAGGTTGGTGTCGGTACACGTGTGAGCGAGAATCTTTGACGGGGAAAAGCAAGTACGGTACAGCTCTACGAATACGAGATGTAGTCCACAGTTTCTCCCACCGTATATCGATTCGATATACGATGGACATAAACCCAAAAAACAAACGAAAAAAAATAAAACATCAGACACAAAAACGAGCTACGCTGCTTCTTCTTCTCGCGAAGCTCTCTTGTGGGTTATTGTCCTTCGAAGCAGTCGATGCTTAGTTCGAGGGGTACGTGTATACGCTTGGAAGCGTTCGCCTTTTTGGTTAGGCGGGGCATTGGAATCCAGCAGGAGGCGTTTTGCCGCAGTCGACGAGCACTTGGAGGGCGATGGGGATGACGATGCTGATGTTGAGGAGCTTGGCCTTGATGGTGGTGCAGAGGCACAGCGCCGCGTCCAGGTCGAGCAGCCCCTGCAGCACGGGGCAGCACGTGTCCTTGGCGCTGCTCCCGATCCCGATGTGCACCAGCCCGCCCAGCACGTCCACACACGCCCCGAGCTTCAACGTGTCGATCGGGCACGTCTGCGGCGCCGGCGGCGGAGGCGGGCACGGCACGGGCGGCGGCGGCGGCGGAGGGCACGGCTTCTCGACGGGCGGGGGAGGGGACGGCGGCGGGGGGAGGACGACCGGTGGTTTGGGCACGTAAGGCGGGGATGGTGGCACGACGGGTGGCTTCGGGGTGGGCGGCGGGTACACGATGGGAGGTTTAGGAATCGGGGGCGGTATCACCACCGGAGGCTTGGGCACGTAAGGCGGGGATGGTGGCACGACGGGTGGCTTCGGGGTGGGTGGCGGGTACACGATGGGAGGTTTCGGAATCGGGGGCGGTATCACCACCGGAGGCTTGGGCACGTAAGGCGGGGATGGTGGCACGACGGGTGGCTTCGGGGTGGGCGGCGGGTACACGATGGGAGGTTTCGGAATCGGGGGCGGTATCACCACCGGAGGCTTGGGCACGTAAGGCGGGGATGGTGGCACGACGGGTGGCTTCGGGATGGGCGGCGGGTACACGACGGGGGGCTTCGGCTTCGGGGGAGGCTTAGGCGTAGGCATGGGAGGAGGGCAAAGGGCCGGAGGTTTGGGTCCGTAGGGAGGGTGGACGACGGGAGGCTTGGGAAATATGGGAGGCTTGGGGAAGTGGGGCGGCTTGGGAAATAATATGGGAGGCTTGGGGAAGTGGGGCGGCTTGGGAAATATGGGAGGGTGGACGATGGGAGGCTTGGGGAAGTGCGGCGGCTTGGGAAGTATGGGAGGGTGGACGATGGGAGGCTTGGGGAAGTGCGGCGGCTTGGGAAGTATGGGAGGGTGGACGATGGGGGGCTTGGGGAAGTAGGGAGGTTTGGGGATGAAGGGCGGTTTGGGGTGGTGGGGCGGCTTCACCACCGGAGAGGTGGGCGGTTTTGGCGCCGGGTAGGGGCAGTAGGGGCAGGCGAGGGCGGCGAGGAAGGTATCAGCGACGACCAAGTAGGCTAGGAGGAGCAGGAGGTGCTTCCCCATGGCCATGGCTGCCCAGAGAGAGAGGGAGCAGGAGCAGCAGTTGAACTGATACACTTCGAGTGAAGTGCAATGCAGTTCACGCAAATATCACTATGGTTTTATAGAGAGAGAGAGAGGGAGATAGCAATCGTTGTCCTGCTCTTGAAAATCTAGTAATTTATTGTGGTTTGTCTTGGTTCATTGACTTTACAGCTATGCGTTGGGACATTACTGTCAGCCTAGTGGGGTGGGAGCCAGGGTTTAAGCCGGATTTTGTTTCCCATTTCATTCAGTAGTCCCGATTGAGTGTCTTTTCTTTTTCATGTTTCATTTCCATTTCTGTTACCAGCATCGCTTGAATACAAAATGCCTCGAACCCTTATACGAGTCGAATCTCCTCACATGCACGGCGTCATCGAATTTCGTACGTAATCCCAATCCGGAATGTGGATCCTCCAAACCTGATGAGGTGCTCCTATCGATGCCTCGACGAATCCCTAAACACCAATGAAGATCAAAGTTTTTCAATTATCAATGGTCGAGATCCGTTGAGCTGTTGAGAGAAGCACCACACGACATGGAGAATCCGCATCGCCCGCTCCGGTTAGACTCTGACGTCCGATCCTAATGGGTTTTGTCCCATGAATGCCGGGTCGCATCGCTCGTGAGCCATCCTCCTCCGTCGCTGGCGTGTTCATGCGGAGATTTTGGTTAAATGTCAAGAACTTGGGGACGCGACCCCGAGAACGTGTCTGGCTAAATCGAGCGCGTGCGTCGTTTTCTTCCCGCTCCCCTTCTTTCCCCTGTTATCATCATTCAGTAAGTATCCAATGAATAGCTCCAACCAGCTTTCTTTTCCCACGTCAGTGTTCGGTCCCAAAAGCCCAAAAAGAATAGCCCGAAATCCAAGGCGCTGACGTCATATTTACGAGTGGAGTAAAGCTGGAATCGAACATCGGAGTACAGGATTCTACAAAGTGCGATAATTATTAATTTTTCCTTTTGGGTGTCTAGAATTCTTACAAAAAGTTATAATTAGAACAGCCGAAAGGATTGAACTTTAGAAAAAAATGGAGAAAACGCGGATGAGGTTTTTTTTGGCGTGTATCTGACTGTCGAGCCCGTGAACACGAGGATCTTCTCAGGCCCGTGGCCCCACGCGGGCCCCGTCCCGCTCTTTCCTCTCCACGGACCCCGAGCCAACAACACGGCAGCGCTCGATGGATGTCGGATTTCTCGCTCTCGCACCGCTGGTGTCGCTTGTCACTCCGCCATCCGCACGATCCTCAGACCACCAAATCTTCAATCAAATAAGGGATAATGAAATGGATGGTATCCAAAATTTGACCTAACGCGTAATACAGTTTCGAGCTTTTTAGTTGTTTAACGTGTGGTTTATGAACTGTTATTTAATGTGTAATGTAATCGCTGAACTTTTAATTTGTTCAATGTGATTTATGAGCTTTATATACATATTCAACTTAGTCATCCAACGTGGACTAAGTTGAATATGTATCGAAAGTCCAGAAATTACATTACACATTATGTTACAATTTATGGACTAGGTTAAACAAATTAAAAGTTCATGGATCAAATTACACATTAAGCTAAAATTCAGAAACTATTTATGTTATTTTCCTATCAAAGAAAGAAAAAAAAATTAATTTAATTCCGAAGCGCCTATTGAAAAAGCAGGCATCAAGGACCTCTGAGCTTATCAAAAGGGTATCAACAAAACTTTAAATCTCATTTCTTGTCATTGTACGTGTTCATCTCAGCCGATCCTCTAGTGCCAACACGACGGGGGGAGGTCTCTGTCCAAACCTCTCATCTCATGCCAAATCTTCACCGTAATCAGCAGTAGCGGGGTTTCGCGTTTTAACTTCTGGGATATTCTCTGTCCCCGACAAAGTATTGTGTTAGCAAACACATGAAGCATCAAGCCGAGTTTCGCGCTGTTCCTTTCGGATATCCTTTGTCCACAACGAAGAGTATCGCGCTAGTAACGCATGCATCAAGCCGAGTTTCGCGCCGTTCCATTCGGACATCCTTTGTCCACGATGAAGTATCGCGTTCGTAACACATGCATCGAGTCGAGTTTCGCGCATTTTTCCTTTCGGGACATCCTTTGTCCCCGGTGGAGTATCGCGTTAGCAACACATGTATCGACAACCAAGCAAATTTATTGGCCACGAGTCGATTCTTGTAAAAAGAAGAAGAAGAAGCGACGCACGTAATGTATGTCCGGGGAGATTGATTTGAGGGAAAATTTGGTGAATTCTGAGATGTAAGGTACTTTTGGGACTAAGCAAGTAAGCAGAAAGGAGGAGTCAGCTAAATTATCAAGAGCAAAAGCAAACGATTAAAGTTGATGCTGATATTGCGACCCCACCCCCCCTCTGTCGGCCATATACTTACAAACCTAATAAAGTGGGAAGGGGAATTATCGTAGAATAATATGAACCGAAACCCTAAATTTGTCAATTCAGAATAAAGCAGTTGGTTGAAGAATTGCCTACGCGGTATGCAACTCCAAACCCTACTAGGTTCGAAAGTCCAACTTAAAAGTCGATACACACGAAGGGAGGCCACAGATTGTAAGAAGAACAAAGAAACCCGATTTAACACTATATACAAATGTGAAAAAAGCAAAAGAACGAGCGTTCTCACGTCGAAACTTAATTGGAGTTGGTCACAACTTTTATGTGTCTAAGGCATCCTCACTCAATCATTGAGAATTTAATTTAATTACTGATTAAGGGTGCGTTTGTTTCATGAAAAATGATCGCTTTTGTATCACTTGTAGAAACGAATCGACGAAAAAGTTTTTCATTGTCCATGAAAATGTTAATTTAGGCATAATTGTCGTCAATAATGAAAATATTTTTCATTACCTAATTATTTTAAATAATACAAGCGATCATTTTTATTCAAATTATTTATTTTCTGCGAAATAAATGGAGCCTTAATTTCTTTATTTTGTTCTCATGGATTTTACGTTTCCTGAAAAAGGTATCAAGTGAATAACTTATTCGCTATCTTCCTTATCATCAAGTGATGATATTTGTTAATAATTCATTCCTATATTTGATCGTCCGTTTAGTTGTGAGATTGATAAGTATGAAGTTCTTCGATAATTGGAAAGAATGACAAGAATAATCATATGTTTTCTCATTTACTTTTCAATCCCAATTTTGATAAGAGTTTTCAAAAAAATGAAAGTTGGAGAAGGTCTCTAAGCCAAGCAACGTTCCTTAGTTCCCAAAAAGAACCCCCACTTGCCTCTTTCTGGGACTAATTAAACATGATTAAGTAGTCCCGTGACAATTTCGTACTGTTAATTGGGGTGTTGTAGAATTTTTAACTCGAGAATTAGAGGCTATCCGTTCAAATCCACCAATTACATGCAAAATACTCTGGATCGGAGTTACCGGTGAAAGCCAAAGGCTTGGACTTAATCGGTTCACCCGAAGTTTGGATGGTGTTTCATGGGCTTTTGAATAGCTAGAACTCGATACCCTTGCATCCGAATCATAAAAAAATGAAGGAAAAAAAAGATAGAGGAAGGATTGAGATGAGATGAAATAGTCAACCAGTTAATCTCGAGTAGCTCTTTCACGAGCTAGCTCGGTTGCATCGTGAACGAGTAAATATATTATCGTGAAATGATTATATCACGTGACATGCCGACGTGATATATCGAAATAATCGATATATATCATGTCGGCGTAGGCACTACTTAAATGCTTGCGGGGGTGATCAGGCTGCATGGAGGGGAGGGCGAAAGAGCGGGCTCTCCTCAGATGCCGGTCGTGCATCATATCTCTTCTTGTCAATAAAGAAATCTTTGATCGTACTCTATGCCGACCTTTGTCGACCCTATGTCTATTCCCTAGCCTACGGACCGCCAAATTGCCGTAAATAATCCTTTCTCGTTTGTTTTGGCGCTAACCTATAATGACTTTTGTAGGTTCCTGCACATGGTCGTGTTGTGGTAATTGTTTGCTGGATGTCCAAATAAAAATTGATATTATGCATCCGTTTCATAGACATTGCCAGGGCGGGTCTTGCCGCAATATACCACGATTATAGAATTTATATATATATATTTTATGTACATGCGGTCTCGCTCTATTTAAGTATTTGGATTAAAATTTTTAACATGATATTAGGGCCAGTTCTGTCCCAGTTAATTTCCTGCTCACGTCTCAAATTCGACGTGTCGTTTTTAATAACATTTGCTCATTTCTAATGGAAACTTGATAGAGGTTGTTGAAATATATCACATAGTCTGCGACGCGGAACTTGTTAATGAGGCTATTATTTTGGAAAACTGTGTGATTGACACTTTCATGTGCGTGACAATAGAATGATTCCGAACAATTAACTTATCTTGATGTCTCTCCTTTTTCACTGGTCCCGCCAATAAAAGGAATATCCTGCTCATTAATTGCGTCTTTTATGAAAGAAAATTCACTTAAATCACGACTTTCCTTTTCCTCCGTTCTCGCTCTTTCTCCTTCGCCCACTGCTCTGGACCCCAGTCGCTGCGACCGTCGCGCCTTCGGTGACCATTGCTTCTCATTAGACTTATCAAAATAGGTCACATTTCTTAACTCATATTTGATGGGCCTCATTGTTATATGAGTTTTTTATATTTAGTAAACGGTTCATAAATGGGTTTAAAATGGTGAAGCCCAAAATAATATGATTGTTAAATGGGTTCACAACTTACTTAGACCCAATCACCTCTATTGCGCTCTCTCTCTCTCTCTCTCTCTCTCTCTCTCTCTCTCTCTCTCTCTCTCTCTCTCTCGCCCTCATTCGATATCGTACTCGCTCACTTTGTGCTATCTCCTCAATTTGGATATGAGTTTTTCTATATTTGGTTAAATGTAGAAGTGTTTAGCAATATGGGTCGGGTCGAGCATGAGTTACCAGATTTATATTGCATGTAAATAGGTCAAAACGGACTAAATGGATCAATTTGAGTCAGATCATTTTCGATCCGATCCAAACTCGACCCGATCTGATTCGACCCACCTGTTTGATATGACTACTCCTCACCACGCCACTGGCACTTGAGCCTGTGCACGTGATCAAT